ATCGCTCAGAGTTTGGCAGCCATCCTCTCTGTGTGCCCGTCCCCCTGTAGGAGCCGAGAAGCCCTCCTTGACACGCAGCAGACATCACAACACAGGGCAAGACAGTGACTCAGCAAGGCAGATTGCTGGGATTGTTTCAGCCACCCTTGGCTCCCACCGAAGGCAGGATCCAGTTCAAGGTTGCTGTGGTGTCTATTTTCAAAGCTCTGCCTGGAATTCATTTTAGCTACCAAGAGACTGTCTGTCACTCCATGGCTGCCACCTCCCACAAGAGCTTCGTTCTGCTGCTAGACTGAAGCTGTTAGTGAACGGTTCCCTGCAGACAATAGAGGACAGTGGTCTGCTGTTTATAGCCAATAAAATCTTTCTGGTTTCAGAAGTTCTTCATCTACAAGTATTTTGGCCTTAAGATGTTGTCTGGCATGGGTTTTGCCAGACAGCGGCAAGTTTGGAGTTCTGCAGTCAAGCACAGAGCAAGTTGCAAGTGAAATCCGATTTCAGTTAGGTCTCCTTTTCTCTAAATAACTACAGCATGGTTTTCAAAACCCAGAGGAATAGTGGAGCAAAAAAGCATGCACGCCTGAGTTTTTTTTGTTTTCCCCTTTCTGTCAGTCTTGTTCCTTGGTAACACACTGAGGAGTTCATATGCAGTACAAGGGATAAATCCTGGCAAAACATTGCCCTAATGTGCTTTTAGCAGTGGTGACATAGTGGAATAGCTACTGTAAAAAAGCTAATCCTGAAAGCTAGGCCAGCCCAAGCTAGGCAGAGTAATTCTTCCTATTCCTGAAAATATTCTAAATTTTCAATCCTGATTTGTTTGTCCATGTCCTTCTTCCTCCTTTCACAATAATCCCTGTATCCTTGTTTGTTCTTTCTCCTCCCCTTATTCCTTGTCCTTGCCCCCAGTGTTTTTCAACTTTATATATTGAGTTTCCCTTGGCATGCCAAAAATTTGCTGATGAATACCACTTGTTTGAAAATTGCATGCTAGATTTCTTTTTGTGAGAGTGTTTTATATGAAATCCAAGTGAAGTATTAGAAGTTTTAAGTAGCTTCGTAACTTCAAACCTGAAATGTTAGTTATGTGCATATGATATTTGCAGTATACATCAAAAATGCACTTAGGACAATTTTAATTTTTTTTTCCTCTTGCATTTGTTGCTTACTGTTCTGGATATATCCAGAATAAAAAAAAAAAAGAAAATCTGGAGGATGAATTAAAAAAAATAGGGAACAGCTTTTAGCTTTTGTATAGATGACAGCTATTAATCACGGAAACAAATGTTCACAAGAAGTAGCAGAGCTCCACCATCCATGTTTTTAATTCAGTACTGAATACTTCACCCCAGAGTAGATTCAATAACTAGCATTATTTGGTCTCTGTTGCAGGGCAGAGCAAATAATTGGTAATTTAATAAAATACAGTCTCTTCCTCTGTAGGTCTCGTGGCCTGTAGCTCACCATTCATGAATTGCTGGAGGTGTCCCCTCCTGGCCACGTATCACACGCTTTCAAAGTCTCCATCACTGGATGTGCATCAATTTTGCACTCATGTGAGACTTTTCTTTGCAACTGTCTTTGCAACATCTGGGAGCAGGACAGCATTGTTGGAAAGGGAAAAAAGATCACAGAACTGTAGTAACTCTTTGTGTGCATTTACATGTTTTGTTTGTTAACTGTTACGTATTTCAGACAGAAAAATCTAGAAGCAGTTTTTGCAGAGCAATTTTGTGTCTTCATGTAAAAGTTCAAGCTGATGTGCATTAAGTGGACACAAAAGACTTAATTTCTGAATTTGCTGCTTTTTGGCTTTTTTTTTTTTTTTTTCCTTCTTCTCCTGACAAGCTTAATCTTTTGTAAGACCCCTTTTGTGTTTTTGTTCAGGCAATTAATGTAGAAATGAAGGTTTCTTAAATCAGGATATGCAAGGAAGATTTGAAGTAGCACACTGATTATATAATTAATTCTCAGTTGTAAGTTCATTTTGATGGAGTTAATTCTTTCCCAGAGGCTCCAGGCTAGTTTTGGTCCACCCACAGTGCTGTAATCAGCTAAGAAATAAAGAAGAAAAAGGCCTTGAAGGAAAGGAAGTTTCATGACTGGCTGTAGAAAAAAATGCCAGAAACACGCAGGATATTTTATTTTTAATTCAAGGAAAATATACTGAGCTGTGGTTTTGAACCATGGGTATCCAAACCCTGTTTTTAAGCAGCATAATATTTTGAGTCCAAATGAAATCAAGAAAGAATGATTTCTCAGGAGGATGGAGAAAAATTGTCTTGGTTGAGGGGGACCTTGCACAGATAGGAAAAGTGTTTTTAGTGGAAGATGAATTTACGATTATTTTTTACATCTTCCACAAGTGTGGTAATGCTCAAAAATAGACTTCTGCGTGGCAGTTGCCCATTTGCTAATAAATGGAGCAATGACTATCTTTTTTGTGGACTATGAACACTCTTACTGCTTCTGACAGTGTTGTGTGAGGTACTGACTTCAGAAAGCATATGCGGCACTCAAAAACCCAAAAACCTAAATAATTTGGAAAATCCCATTAATCGTACTTCATTTCTCTGCTTCTCTACTGCTTGACTGGTGACCTAATCGTCATGTGGATGTGTTTAGACTGCAGACTTCCAGAACAAAACAAAAATAACAAAGAAAATACATTGACTAGTTTTGAAATCATTTTGCACAGACAGTGCTATGCTTAGTGCATGGGCAGTGGTAGCCCATTTTATTGCCCAATTACTCTGATTTCAGTTATAAGACTGTCTAGTCCTAGACTGCCTTTTCCTTGGTTAGGCATATTTTCTATTATAATTTGAAGAAAAAAAAAGTAATTTTATTGTGCATGCTAGGTAAAGATACGCATACAATTGTCATTGTATCCTGTGAAATGGTGTTTTTTTTTTTTGTTTGTTTTTTGTTTTTGTTTTTTTTTAGTCAGCTTGGTGGCTGCAGCAGAAGTTATGTTGTATTGATTAAAGTGCATTATCACTATGTTTCCAAGCTCAGTCAAAGACGTGTAAATGAAGTCAGCATGATGTAGATAGAGTTGTTAGATGATCTTCCTTGTAGCTCCGGGTAGCAAGAGTAGGCTTGCCCTGGAATATCACTGTCTGAAATGGTTTCTTTACCCCTCTGTCTGAATTTGGATAGAATGAAATTCCCACTGGCTGCTTCTCCATGAACTGTTCTAAACTTCTACTTGCAAGTTTGCTGCATAAAAGCCAACTATGACTAAGCGACTGTTGCACCATTCTAGTGAAGGAATAGTTAAAAATAATCCTAATGTGTCATTTACATTTAAGCCTAACAAGGTTATAACTGGAGTTGTGTGAAAATGACTTTTTGGTGCTATTTTCACGTAAACTAACTATTTATTTATTTATTTTGTTCTGGGGTTATTTCACACCCGAAGGGTTTCATTTTTGTTGGTTGTTTTATTAATGTAAAAATACTCATTTTCACACCCGAATGTGTGATTATTTAAAAATCTTGCTTCTATTCATTGTGCACGCACTCACAACCTAAAGGCAAATATTCAAATGTCTGGAGCTTGATAACTCCATGGTGGTTTTGGCTGGCTTTTTAAGCTCAAAAATTACTGTGAAGATAAATGTGCAGTAAGTAATTCAAACCTTTGCTTTTAAGGGTTACATGGGCCATGCTGTCATGTCTGGCTCTTAGCATCCAAGGATGGTTCATATGTTATTTTAGCACACATAGATATAGTGCCGTGCCCTGTCTCAGATGTATGCAGACCCGCTCACAGCATGGTAATGCAAAAAAGTCTGTAGCTATGAGGCTTCACCTCTGTGGCCTGTTGCAACTGTAACTAGCCTCTGATCCTCTCTCCTGCACAGCAAAATATCATGGGCTCACAATGCAAAGGCAAAATTTCAGCCAGTGTTGATCTGAACATCTCTGGTCCTTTTCACTCTCACCCACCCCTTCCTCTGCCCTGCCCAATGGGGACCATGGAGAACATGGGTGTGACTTGCATTGTACCAGCATCTCCCCTCCCTGGACACTGAGGGGTTAAAAGACAACTTAAATTTTCTTTAGCTCTCTTTTTTTCTTTTCTTCTAAATTGAGCTGGTTTTGTAGAGTCTAAAAGTGATGTAAAATCAGTGTCCAGGGCTCTGCATTTTGTAATAAGTGAATGTTTTGCTGATTTCTTGCTAGAATATCTGCAACCCCACCAATTTGCATGCCTGTATGTGTGTTAGATTGCTGGCAAAGAAATGCTGAATGCTGATAATTGTATACTGATTTCCAAGGCTGATTTAAGTCATTTTGATTTTTAATTCATTCTGTGCTTCCTTTTTATTTCTGCACATGTGTAGTAATGTCCTGTAATGTTGTTGCCTAAAATAAGCAGTAAGAAATGAAGTTGTGAGATGGTTGCTGTAAAAGGAAAATGTAATTTTTTTCCTTTGATTCTTTTCTTTTTCCAGTAAAAGAATGTCTGTGTATACAGAATGTTCAAAAAAAAAAAAAAAAGAAAAAAAGAAAAAAAAGAAAGTTGTATCAGTATCTTTCTGTTAATTTATATACAGAAAACAGCATGGCTGTTGGGAGTCTACAAAGCTCAGAAAAGTGATATTCAAAAGTTCTGCATAAGAATATCCTTTTTCTCGAGGAGCACTAAGCACCCAGTCAGCATCCAGCACTCCCCGTAGAGGTCGGCTGGACTCAGGGGTGCTCAGCACCTCTTCTGGTTTGACGTGCAACTGGGTTCTTCTTTGAAAGCCTGGTTTGAAATCTTGCACTTGATTTGTATTAGAAGATGAAGAAACCTCAGCACATGTACTGAGGAACTGTATGCCTCTATGTTCATTGTATGTAACAAATCCAGGGTAGGTTTTCTCTCCTTCACGATCGGGTTCATGGATACATCGATGATATTGGGAATCTCTTACTTTCCCCACATATTTGTGATCATGTTAGCAAATTAGCAAATACTGACTATTCTTTTTTTCTTTTTAAAAAAGGAATCTGAAAAAAAAGGATTAATTGAAAGAATCCAAATGGTTCAAAAGGTCATCATAGCTGTTCAAAGCATCCTAGAAGAAATTGCATCATTTGGAGAGAGGATTAAAAAGTAAGTGATGGATTTTACTTGCTTAACTATGATTTGCAATGAAGAAGAGAGAGGGCAGTTAAGGTGGGGGGAATTTCCTGATCCAAAAATGACTAAGGTAGAGCAGGAGAACCTGGCCAGTACTATCATTTCTTCTTCTTAGGGTGTCTGTTACTCCAAAAACATTTCCAAAACATAAAGAGAAGAAACCATGTGCTGTGCTGGTGTAGCTCTCACCTTCACCCATTTGCCCAGATGTTTGATCTTGTCTGTCTGTGATAAGGTACAGAGTCATGATAGGAGAATACTTCTTGAAGGTGTGGGCTCAAAAGTATCAGGTTTTCTTTGCATTTCCCCCAAAGAAAGTAGGTAGGCATTGATGGTTGGCGTTGCCTTTCCCACGCCATCCCAGCCCTGGTTACAGGGGTTACTAGTCACTGATTTCCTTTTCTAGTACATCGATATTCTTTTCTACCACTTTGTCTATTCCCTACTTCCTGCTGATGCCATGAGGAAGCCCAAAGGCAGTTTTCTGGGTCTTGTCACCATGGGAGGCACATAGGGTATTCCTGACCCTGCAAGGGAAAGAGGGTGAAGAGACAAAAAAGAAAAAAAGAAAGAAAGAAAGAAAAAAAAAAAAACCTCTGCATGCAAACACACACAAACTTTTATAACCCAATCTTTATTGGCACTTAATTGACCCACATTGTTTTCTGTTTTGAACACAAAGTGATGGTTTGTGATTGAACGACACTTTAATGAGGAGCTGGGTTCAGACTAAAAATACAGCAAACCCATGTGGTGTGATTCCACTCTGTGCACCCCAGCTGGGGTGGAAGTGGCCCAGAGATGTATTCCAGTCTATGAACAGGGCACTGTTCTATCCAGCTGCATGGCAGGAAGACTCAGAGTGTTTAAGCACTATTAATTCTTGTATTCATTTTGGTAACAATGGTCTTAGAGAACACATTGGGTATTAATGTGGAGGCCCGATGTAATTTCAGAAGAATTCCATTGTAACTCAACAGTAATGTACCATTAAAAAATTGCCACCAAAGTTTTCTGTAAGTGACAGACTGAATTGTGCTACAGTTTCCGTCTGTCACTCTAGTTATGCAATCATAGGGAGTTTTAATAGTTTAACTGAATTGAGCTGTTTTGCTTTTTTTTTTTTTTTTAACTTAAGCTACGTTGATTGATAATGATGGGTCCTCTCCCACCTATCTTTACTTAATATTTAATACATCTATTGAAGCTTAAAAGTAATTCTTTTTCCCGTCCTATTAATTTTATCTGTCAAGGGAAGTTCATATTATTTTATAGCCTGACGAGAGGTCCACATTCATTCTCTCTTCTTCCTACTCCCCGTCATCATGATGTGAAGTTAGCAGGCAGATTGCGTGAAACAGATGCCCAGATCTGTAAATCCACCTACAAACTAATTGGCATTCATGTAGTCCAGGTATCTCAATGTTTGGTGGTACCATGGAGATGCATATTGCAAGGGAACAAGTTGACAAAGTAACTTCTAAGAGGCATTAGCAATGGCTGCTCACCCTGAGTATGTCGTGGGCTTATATATGAATGGTCTGGGTGAAAAGAAATCTTGTTTTGTGCTTCAGAAGTCTGAATGATCATGGTGGCTTAGCCTTTGGAAAGTGCTCCTGTTGGGAGAAATGGTGGTGTGTAAAGGCTTGGACTGATGCTAACACACTACCACCAATCTAAGACAGCCTACTTTGGACAGTGTAGTAAGGAATTGATGAAGATGTGAGGAAATGGAAGCAAATATATAACTATTAAGATATATTTATATAGAACATTATTTCCCAATGCTATGCTAAGAAATGTCTCTGCTCTTTTAAGGTTTAGTGTCAGTTGTAATTAAACCATTCAAATTATTAGTGAGGTTGATTCTGACTACCTGCCACACTCAAGTCGTGCATCGACACACATCTCATGTCATCACCACTGTGCCCAGCAGAGCCAGCTCAGATAGCTTGCACCTGTGGCATGGCCTTGTCTCCAAATCAGATAATCTGCTCATGAATAATGGAGAGCTGACCGGTGAGCAGAGATGTGTAACAAGTGCAACATGTATAAGAAGAAATGAAAAACAACTCGCTACATGGCTAACAACTTCACTGAGCCCTCCAGAGACTATCCTCTCTCCTTATCATGATACCTGCCTCTCAGATACCACCTTTAATCTATTACAGCACCCAGATGCAGGACTCAGCTTATCCGCCTTCCGAAGGGTCTGCAATGTACAGTGTATTTGAATATGCCGAGCACTGAAATACTATCATTAATTTATTGTTGGGTAACAGAGTACAGAGCAGAAACATTGAGTAAGATTATTGTTGTTCTTTACAGCACGTTCAACTGGACGGTACCTTTCCTCTCTGTTCTGGCCTGCTTGGTCCTTGCAGCAGCAACGGTTATTTTGTACTTTATACCACTGAGGTACATTATTTTAATCTGGGGTAAGTACTCCACTGTGTCTCATGCATGCAATAAATGCAGTATATATCTACAGAATGACATCAAGCAAGCTTTAAGCTTTTCTTAGGGTTCTTTATAATTTTCCAGCAGCACCACAAGAGACACGTTAGTGTAGATAAGCTATTTGCAATATAGCTATTACTATTATGCAGGGAAGTAATTAGCTTCCTGGTGCTGGAGCACACAGACAGGAAATGGTAGGGAGTGGGCAAGGTGTATTTAAAGAGCTTCACCATGGAGGCTTGACCATGCAGCCTTTTGGTTCTTAATTCCCCTTCAGTCAGGAGGAGCAGTGTGCCAGTGGTCCAGCAGGAGGCACTGAACATCAATCTGGAGCAGGGGACAGAAAGGAATTGTATGAAAATTCATCACTTTCTGGGGATGACGTAAAAGAGGAGCTTTTAAATATGAAAAATTGCCTAGCAGCATTCTGAAGAAGGGTAAGGTGGTCTTTCACAAAAGAAGATGGTATTTCAGCTGCTGAAATCCTTCCTTATCTCCAAATGGCCTTCTGTCTCATTTATGGTGATATGTTTTATCTCAGACTTGAGGTCAAACAGCAGAAACAGTGCAGGTAATCCTCACTGAACCACGGAGCTCTGCCCTGGCACAGTGCTGGGCTGTAGGGAGCTCCCATCACCTTCCTGGACTCAGCCATGTGCTGCAGTCTTGGTTCTCCTGGATGCAGAAAAAGGGAATGAGAAGGTGCCAGTGTGAAAAGCTACTGGAGCGGGGGAGAGCAGGGGATTAAGTAAAGGATTAAATCAAACAAAAAGAGCAAAAGGAAAGGAGAAAAATTGCTGGGAGTAAAAAATTCAGTAGCAAAATATATTTGTTCTGGTATGGAGGACATGGTGAGTACATGAGAACTCTACATCCATTCAACATCATCTAGACTGACAGGGCCTTCAAATATGATACGTGTTAAACAACTACCCTGTGGCAAGGCCTCAAAAGACCTTATGGTATTTTCTGTTTTTTAAAAATCAGGTACACAGAAAATTGTGTTGGCATTTTGCTACAAGCATATGGCTTAAAAGCTGAATCTCAGATGTGAAGCAGGTACATGTCAGAGAGAGGAGAAGGCTGGAGCAGCCATCACATTTTAAACTATTTTCAAGGAAACTAGTATGGGATTTTGGATAGGAGTGTGATAGGATTGAGTGCTCTATTGTGATTTTCAGAGGCAACAGATGTATGATTTTTTGCGTGTGTGTGTTCTTTCTTTAAAGTGGGCTAGTTGTTTTATTCTGCTTCATGATACTTTGTTCTACTGCACCTTTAGGTAGCCACATTACTAGCTGCAGTCTCTCAGTGGGGAAGTGGTGGCAGCAGGGTGTTAAAAGTGTGCACTGGTGCAGGGGGAGTGCTGGGAAGGGTGATCAAGTTTATCATTTTTTCATCCTGGTCCATGCAATGGAGGTGATGCTGGCTGGAGGCAGCTCATTCCTCCCTTTCCTCATAGAGAAGAGAGGGAAAACCTTATGAGCTCCACAATAAAATGAACATTATACTCCTGTGGATCTTCTTTACAGACTGGTGATCTCCTCTGACAGCTGAAGTATATCCAACCCCATGGAGAACACTGGGAGTGCTGTTGCAGTTAAAAAGCCAAATTATTCACCTTAAGATTAAAATGAAATAAATCTTGTGATAAGTTTTCACAGTATGCCACAGCATCAGAATATGGTCAGCTTGTCAAATTTGGTTCTGAAAAGAGAGGATAAGCTCTGAGACATGGTGACAAAGGAAACTTTTATTTTTAGAAGTAGAAGAAAAGAAAACTTATCCTGTCCAATTCTTTTCAGAACCTTCTAGCTCCCTGGGTATCAGCAGAAGGGAATGTCTTTGTTCATGTAGGACAACAGATTTAACAGTAGTCTCAGTTGCAATTTGGTGTACTCTCCCCATGTTATCCTCTGGAATAAATGCATGCTACAATCTTTTTTATTTTTATTTTTTCTCTAGTATTGACAATGGATGACCTCCAAAATAGAGAAATGTGTTTTTAAATAATGCCCCTTATTTTCTCCAGAAAGCATTTGTGAATGATTCCACATGACAGGCAACGTGTGCATGGCTTGAAGTCTGAGGCACTGTTTTCACACTAATTTTTACTTGTGAATTTTTCTTTCCTTTTTCACCTTGCCTGAACAGTTTAGAAGGGAAGGAATAGAATGGAGTTGCATTATTTTGTTTGCTTTTTTTCTTTTTCTAGGCATAAATAAATTTACTAAGAAGCTTAGAAATCCCTATGCCATCGATAATAATGAGCTACTAGATTTCCTCTCCAGGGTACCATCTGATGTTCAAAAGGTACGTAATGAATGGCCAGCACCAACAGAGGCAGCAAGCAGTACTGAGAGCGGCTGGGTGCTCTGCTTGGGGAATACAATGCCACTGCACTTTTGAATAAGTGAGATAAGGAATTGGGAAAATCCACAAAGGGTGGGGGGTGAGGGGGATGTTAAAAGAGAGGGGAGCCAAAATCCTTTGTCAGAAGCATGATTGCAGAAAAATTATCCTGAAAAGACCTACTTAAAAATGATCTGAAAAATCACCCAGCGTGGTTACTGAACTATGGTTTCTGTCACCTTTCTGCTCCGATATTTGTACGGAGGGAAGAGAAAAATAGTCTCTTTGATAGAGATAACCATCCAAAAGGCTTTGCTGAATTCTTCCTTTCCTCAAAATGGAGTGTGGGGAGCATTATTTCCATGACTTTGTGCTTGCTACGCTTTTTCACATCAGCCGTCCCTCAGAATTCTTCCTCCCCACCCACCTTGAACTCCAGGCTGTCCTTGGACAATGCTCAGCTCATCTGTTTCATTAGAGAAAGCCTTGAGATGTGTATAAAATACTCTGTGGTTGATGAGATCAATCTTCTACCATTATGGAATTATAACTTTTAATCTAGCCAGAATCTGTCCTCCCTCATTTTCAGTCGTCTCTTTTCATATTTCTTTGAAACAACAACACTGTCTTCAGTAATCTTGCCTATCTTCCTGGAAATTATTTGAACAATAAGTCCTTTAGAATGTCAAGATCTGTTTATTTCTCTTGGAGGAAGGAAAATAGTCTTGCTGGGTAATGAAGCACATGATATAAAGGATTCTTTCTTTTGTTTTAATCAACTGGAATCTGTGTCCTCAGGCCATGATCCTGATGCCCTGGATCCCACTGACATTGTACCTTTCTCTGTGAATCGTGGTACTTTCACAGTGAGGTGCTGCTTACTGTGAATAAGGGGATCACAATCTCGCCTGTAGTGATTTTACTCTGCTGGAGACTGAAAAATAATTGCCTCCATGCGGTGTTGAGGCATCTGGTAGAAACAGGGTTGGAAAGGCTTGTGGTGACATTTATCTCAAGAGGCCACCAGATTGGTTGATGGCAGCACTAATAACTTGAGAGAAATCTCTCTGTAGACTGGTGGGAGGAAAAAAGCTAAACAGGAATAATCACAGAGACATTAAGCTTGAGTGTATTTTTATTTTTTTTGGTCATTGCTCTTGTAGAGTGCACTGGATTTACAGTGATGGTTTGCATATGCCCTTTTAATGTTTATGTTTAAAGATAAGCTGCTTTTCTATTTATGCTTTATTTAACATTTACATTTATAACATTTCCTTGAGTGGTTTCTATCATTTTGGAAACCTTTGAGCTCTCTGAAGAAAATGATAACCACTTGCTATGAGGGAGGACTGATAAAAGTTCCTACGATGGGACAGACCTCTGAGGAGTTTTCCACTAGTGCTAAAAATAGCGAGCCTGTGTGACAGCCACTCACTCCTCCAGCGAAAAGTCATCCATGGCAGCTCCAAATCCCTTCTGTCTGTTTCCTCCTGTGTGCTGTTGATGCATCATCATTTCACTGCGGTACTGCAATGAGTTGGAAAATACCTCTGTATGTTAGCCATTTACAACCCACATGTGCTGGACAAAAGACAGAGGAGGAGTGGAAAAGATGGCATGTTCAGCAAAAGGTTCCCGTGGTTCCAGTGGGAATACTTTTCTGTAGCACAACAGACAATTTGCTGTTGAGATTACCTGATCCTCATCAGTTTATCACACATGTTTTAAGTATTACATTGTAAATGAAATTGTTTTGAAAGCTGGAGACAGCTTTGTCCAGGTTACTTTGAGAAAATATTTTCCTTTTTGAAATGATTAAATATTCCAGCATCCCAAGGCCTGTGTACATTTTGACGATTGTCATTTTACTGCATATTGGGATCCATTTGAGTTGTAACTCCTGAGAGAAGTTTATTAAACTTATAGGTTAATTTCAGAAGAAGAAAAACAACTCCCAAACCAAAACAAACCCAAAGATCGATCCTATGTTGCTGAAATCAGGTAGAACCCCATGTATCTCATTAGAAAAATCTGCTTTTAATATTTTCGTTTCAAGAAATGATGCATGACTTCTCAAATCCTTCCTGCAATTAATCCCCCATGTTCCTGTGTTTAGAAAATGATTCATTACTTTTGAACCTTCCTTAGTTTCCCTTGGTTTGTCCTTGGGGAGCCATTAACACACACTGTAGTGAGCTAAAGTTACCTAACTGCAAACGTCATGTCTATTTGTTTTTACAGGTGCAGCATGCTGAATTGAAACCATACAGCAGCTCCAGTCCCATTAGGAAGAAACGAAGTGCGCTATAGGATGCAGTGAGATTTTGGAATGCGGCATCTCCCTCCGTACCCCCCACATGTGCTCACGCGCTTCCTCCCTTCTCCTCCTCTTGGTTCGGAGCAACACTATAATCACTGCACAGACTTTTTTTTCATGGAAGACATGGCTTTTGATAAACACCTATCTTGAGTTGTCTTTATGGGCTGCCTTTTAGGCACTGAGATGTAGCCCCAAAAGTGCAGGATGGAACATATGAATTAGTTCATAGTTAGTTCATAGGATGGGGAAGAGTATGGGAGGGAATATTGCCACTGCGTTCCTTTTTTTTTTTTTTTTTTTTTGTCTTTGATTGCAGAGGCAAAGCTGGATGTGGTAGCACTCCCTGTTTTATGTAGAAAGAAATAATTCTGCTTAGTGTTGCAGATCAGCTGAGCTGATGTGAGGAGATGCTCTGAACCAGTGTTTAACATATCCAACAGATTTACATTAAGATATGAAAGCTATTCTTTTCTGAGTTAAATCACTGTGCCTAGAAAGGTTTAAGCTCTGAATTAACAAGCCTTTGATACCCATCTTCTGTTCAAGCAGTGTACATTTTTAAAAAGTTTTTTATCATAATTAGCAGAAAGAGTGAAGAGCTCCAGTAGTATCTCAATATTTCATTCGGCACTTGTGGGATTTTCCTTTTTTTTTTTTTTTTTCCTTTTCTATTTTTTTTTTTCCTCCAAGAAGAGAAGTCAACCCTAAGCTTAACTGTTTGGACACTGGATTCATCGGAGATCCATTGCTGGCAATGGATGCATGATAACCTTCTGCTGTGAAAGGATTAAAAGACCTCAGAAAATCCTAACTCACTGACCTGAAAAGACTCTGTTGACTTGCCTTTTATAATTCCATCTCATCAGATATTTTCAGCATAGCTCTTGTTTTTCTGTCTAAATCCAGAGGGGTCAACACTACAGATACAAGAGAAAAACACTTTTATAGCCTTAAAGAAGCAAGTGCTTGTGCAGAAAAAGTGCATGGTGCCCGAAGACGTGGTTGTGCAATAGTGGGCAGGCTTTGTTCCACCACTGATTCTTGTTTGAGTCCTTCCTGGTAATTCACAAGGAATGGATCAGAAAGTGAAACTCTATGGGAAATGAACAATGAAGAGACAGGAAAAAGGACAGAGTTTTCTCTTCCGGGGAGAATGATTTATTGCTTACTGATCTTTTAGCTCTTGTGTTTTTGCTTTATAGAAATGACATAATCAGCATTATTCATATTGTTTGACTGAGGACACTGATGCGGAATGATGTGTAAACCTGCTCAGTTTTATTGAGAATGTAGCCCTTGGTCTTTCAGGTGCTGTAGGACATGGTGGGATTGACTTGCCTCCACGAGTCATTGGTAGCACGAGAGCTGGAGCTTGGTTCCCAGGAAGGTGTTTACACCAGCATCCACTGGCATGGTTCATAGTACAAAGATATAGGGAATCCTGGGCGACAGGTTACATTTTAACAAAGTAAGACTTTGGAAGTCTTTACTAATTAAAGGTAAAACGGGTAAAGCCTTGTTTATGGATTGGTGATCCAAATGGAGTCATGCTGTTCAATAATGTAATCTTGTGGGCCTGTTGCATGAATCTGGAGGAGAACTAACACCAGATTATCTTCCACTGGATTATTAACCAGATTCAGTGAGTTTTAAAAAAGTTTATTTTTCAAAGTAACGAGTCCCCACTGACAGGCATGGGACATCAAACACTTCTCTAGGAAGCCTGTTCCAGTGTTTGACTAACCTCATGGTAAAGAAAATTTTTCTAATATCCAGTCTGAACTATCCCTGGTGCAGATTTTTGCCGTTCCTGCTCGTCCTATCATTGGCTCTCAAGGAGAAGAGATTGGTGCCTCCCTTTGATAAAGAACATGTTTTGATCATGTAAAGCTGTGTGCAGCTGCATGTGAAAAGATAGGGAAAAGATTATCCCAATTTAAAATGCTACAAAAACGCCTCTTTGTGTGCGCGTGTGCTTGTGTACCCATGCATGTACATAGTTGTATATAAAGAAGCGTACATGTATAATGTATTTATAGGTGAGTGTGTGGGGAAAACTGGGTGAATATACAGATTTTAAAACCTTGAAAATGTTTATGAAAAATGCCAAAGATTCAAAAGCTTATCTTGCATCTGTTCTTCTTCATTTTATTTCTTTCCCGGCATGTCTCTCTGGCTGAGCCAGATCTCTGCATGATTTGATTTACTTCAAGTTAATGAAGTCAGTTGGAAAGAGCCTTGTAGAAATTATAAAATCTCCAGTAAATCTCCTTCTTGAACATACAATAGATGTCCACGGATCCCTTTGGTTAAACCAGTTTCTCAGTCTTCTGTATAAACAATGCCTCATTGTCTCGCTTTAGACTATCATCCAGTTTATCATCCTGTAGTCTTTGTTATTTTGTAAGTACCAAAGTCAGACATATTTAAGCAGGCATGTGAGATCTGATCATTGATTTGAGTGAAAACATTCAACTGCGGAAATGTTGTTTATTTATTCAGAAGTTAAGACTGATATTTTAAGTGTTATTTTTTTCTATTGATTTTTCCACATTGAACTGATTTCTGTTCAGAAGACAGGGTGAAGTCCTTTTATTTTTTGTTGTTTTTTAATGTAGATATGTGTGTTTCAGAATAATTTGTATGAATTTTTATGCTGGAGACACACCAAATGAAGGGTTTTGGATGGTCCAGTAGTTATGTATGTTGTAATGAGCTCTTTGTTTTGATAAATGCTGTTTGAAATGCAATAAAATTTTGAGGTTAAGCTGATGCTTTTAATTTATCTGGATTAGGATATATGTTTCCCATTCCTTACAAAATGCTTGCTGCGCTATAATAAGTATTTGACTAGGTAAGCAAGTACATCACTTGACAGTGCAGTATTAGAGCTAACACTGGAGGTCACTTGAAATGGAGGCTGTGTGGCTGTAGGAGAATGAGGTAAAGGGGTAGTAGTCCACCTGCTTTAAACTCTTTGGCAGGATTTCCTAGCCCCTGCCTAAGGGAAAGGAGGGTTATGTGGATTTGCTGTACACCCCAGTAATCAAGCTCTTTATTCAGAATTTCCATTTGATTCTTGAAGCAAGAATATCAACTGATACATGTCTGTGTGTCTGTTTATGCATGGAAATTGCTATTTTTTACATTGTTAATCTGTTCAGTGTATAGCATGGAAGTTATGAACTCTTTTTTTTTTTTTATTTGAGGTAGTCATTTCTGTGCAACAATATATACATTTGCATTCTAATGTCTCTAAGACCAGAAGGCATTTAGAAAATTTGTGGGTCTCTTGGCTGACTGTAGATTATGGAATCACAGAAATTCATTGATAGAATACGACTAAATGTGTCTACTACCCATATAGTGTGTAAATAACTGGATTTAACATATATGTGAAGATGCAATATGTACTCATGTTTGCTCAAACATAAGCTGTTGCTGAAGGTTGGTTCCTTGACTAATCATGAACAGGAATGAGGACCCAGCTCCCTTATGGATCAGTCAGGAAAACGCAGTCACTGAAACACACATCATGGAAAGCAAGCAACAACTGAATAAAGCAGTCGATGAAAATGTCACAAGCACCTTTTCTGCTTCCCAGAACTGGGTTGTCCCACTAGAAAACAGAGTTGCCACTTAATTTCCTGTACTCTGCATAGGGCTGCATTTTTATTTATTTATTTATTTATTGGAGGGGCTGATCCTGCAGGCGTTGCCGCAAGTAGAACAGGAGTTATTTTCCCATCAGACCAGTAGGTTCACACCAGGAAGGAATTCGGTTGTTCTGACATGTTAAGAAAAAAGTGACAAAATACACGCTAATCAAACCTTAACCTTTAGATTCTCCGTCCTTTAAACTAAACTGATAGGCTACTTGGGAAATGTTAGCTTTGACTTTAGAGACTATGGCGTGTATTAGAAGTGAATCCTCTTCTGACTTAATACTGTACTTGTGTTTTATCTGTAAAGCTACATGTGTCAGTGCCCTGGTGCATCTACCCCTTCAAATCACACAGGGACATGATAAGAATATCTGCTGTTTAGCATCCTTAAAGTTACCAACTCAGAAGGAAGCTGAGATACTGCAAATGATTGTTAATCTGCTGTACTGCAGACGGAGTGTTTTAATCATTCTCAAATTGGGGTAAGTTAAGCCAGGTGAAATTCCAGCATTTCTGGACAAAATGTCTGCCAGGCAATTATCAGTGGGGAAGACCATCAGCAGCAACATCAATTACATACTTTGAAAGTATATACAAAGATAAGATGTTTAGCTTAGTGTGAATATTCACAAGCATGTAGAAACAATGATAGAGTGAAAATACCTAGCCACTCAAGTTTATACAGTTTTTAATCTACTTTTCTCTGTATTTCTTTGACTTAAAACAGAGCAGCATTTCAGAAGACTGTAGAAGGTTATTTTGTTTGAATAAATAATGTGCTCTTCTGACATGAATCATGAAATTGAGCACAGGGAAGCAGGAGGTGGTGTTCAGGTCTCGGTGTCTGCAACAGCAGCAGCACCTGGGCGGGCACAAGTTCAAGTTCTCAGCGTGGCTCTAACCTGAGGGCTGGTGATTCTTGTTAAATTTTACGTGGAGGAACGTTGCCAATCAGTTCCTGTGTGTTGGACTGAACACCTGCAATTTCCCTCTTGGCTGAACAAGACGATATGCCTCTTATAGATGAAAAAAAGTAAAAGCTGGAAGATATGCTGGTTTAAACTTCATTTAAGCTGATTTCCTAGCACAACAAGCCTTCTAAGATCTCAAGGACATCTTTATACAAAGAGGTAGGAAGCTCCTAGATTACATGTACATACGTCTGATTCTGGGTCTTCCAGGGTGGAACATGTTCAGATTAGATGGTGAACAAGTTGTCCTTCACATCATTGATCACTGACTGCTGGAATGACTATCTGAAGCCCTCTGCTCAGCTGGCACGTTTACAAAGTGGCCTTCAGCCCATGGAAAAGATAGGTCTTCAATGAAGTAGTGGGCTTCAGTGAAATAATGGGTAGATGGATGGGAATGAGCGGGTTACCTGTGAGCTGGTTACACCTTAGTTAGGGATTTCTCATCTACACCAGATTGTTGCGATCAGATTTCTAGAAGGCAAAAAAAGAAATGCTCTGCTCTTGATCTCTGCATTTGTGGTAAGTTGCTTCTATCACCGAGAAGAATTTTAAATAATGTTTAACAGTCATGTACGAACTGGCGATGATAAAACCTAAAGATTTGGGACTTATACTTTAAAATGCACTGTTGGCCTAGATTTCCCTTCAGTCCAAAAGGGTTATGAAGATAAAATAATGCTGGATCAAAACGCATTCAGTCCAAAGTCTGCTCCCCAGTATTGCTATGGTGACTTCAACATTAACTGGTAAGTACTACAGTTGCATTCTCAGCAGCAGCAAGTGAATAAAAAGGGTTTTGTCTTAGTGATGCTACCCCTTTTTTTCTGCCGTGGATACTTTAAGGAGATCACCTGAGAAGAAGCAAAGCAAAATGCATTAGTTTTATTTTTTGAGCAAACCCTTCCTGCTGCCTCTGTTCTAGCATTTGTATGTGGAAGATGGGATCTGACCTTTGTTCCCTGTCTTGTAGGGCAACTGCTTCTGAGGCCTAAGTCTGTGCACAGCAAAACCATTTAGTGCTGACTTGCTCAGTACGGCCACCTCCCAAAGTAGAGTAAAATATCTTGTCTTCATTTCCAGGTGGAGTTGAGCAGTGGAAAGAACATATGTTCCTACAGAGGAGGAAAAAAGGAAAAAAAAAAAAAAAAAAAAAAAAAGGACTTAGTTTCATGGACTTGTGTGCTAAATTTTAGTTTAATCATGGCTGGCTGATTTCTCCCTCCACCTTCTGTCTGCCTGTGGTGGGCTCTGCAGAGCACAGCAGCCACTACCTTAGAAGAAGAGGAGGGGGAAAAAAGTCTCCCTCTGTCTCTGGCATTAGACGACTTTACTGAAAGTCAATGCCATTCCCTTGCATTTATCACTGCCACTCTTGCTCTGCATATTTTTGGTATTCGCCATGCATTGTTAGCGGTGATTGTCATGTAATTAAATCACTGCTCATCACAAGAGCCTATTTTTATGCTGAGATAAGCATCAGAAGTCTGCTGCAGCGTCCCCCAGATCAATAAAGATGTTCCCTGTAGGATTACAAATAGTCTGGGGTTGTACAGGGCACTGGAATTAATTAGGAATGATTTCTCTTTTTCTTTCTTCTTTCAATACATTTTTAATTGTTTATCCATTTTCGATGGGCTTGTTTTTAACTCCACCATGATGCCCAGATGCTTCTGTTCAGACCTTTTGAATATGTGATATGATATCAATTGGGGCAATACCATTTGCTGTAAGCACTCACTATTATCATCATCTTTCCATAGTCATGTGTGACTATTGCTTCAAAATACGTTTCTGAATGTGATATTTGCATCTCAGGCTTTGCACCTGAGATTACAATTAAATGGGTTCATTAAGTGCACTTTAACCAAATGCAATCTGCAACCTTCAGGCTCTCTCCTGAAGATTTGGCATTTTGATCAGACAAGACAAGGGGGCAAGCAGAGTGACTTGGGCCGTTTACTGAGGAAGTATTTGCACAAGGTCACAGAGCACGGCTGGCAGAAAAAGGACTAGCGCAGAGATCTCCCATTTTCAGATGGTTCTGGAGCTTGTTTTCTGGGGTAGAACTGGCTCTTTTAATGTCTTTTAGGAGTTTGTACAGAAATATAGTTGGTGTAGATAAATAAATAACTGTGCTGAGACATTTGGGAGCTGATTTTGGAAGAAAAATGAATTCTGATTTTTTTTTCTTCTGTGTATGTGTCAAGGGGTAGTCGTAGCCCAGTGAGAATTGTGGAGAAAGATCAGATTTGAGTCTGTGGATTTCCAGGGTGCTGGAACTGACTTAAGGATGGCAATGATGTAATTTTCTTCAAAATTGTATTAGAATTGGGAAGTTCTGTAACTTTGTGTTATTCTTATATCCTTAGTGTCTGGGAAATGGAGAGAGCCCCAAATTTGAAACCAGCTTTACCTTGGAAGATTGATGTCTTTTGGAATGTAATGTGTTCTGTCTACCCTTTACAACTTAAAATACCTGCTCCTTGTGCATGGTTTGCCTGCAAAGCAAATATTAAAAAATCTAGTTTTGTTGACTAAACTGTGTACATCATCTAAAATAGTAACAGCCAAGTACACTGGATTACTTTGGTTCCTGCTTTCCTATCCTCATCTATCTGCTTTCCTTAGCCTTGTCTTTAAATATTCTCCTGTTTATGTGCCAAACTGGTTTCATCATCTTCCATGGGGTATTGATGCAGCTTGAAGACCTTCTGCTGCTTGTCCATGCCTGCTGACCTCTCCTATCCTCAGGGAAGTCCAGGATTAGCAGCAAGCTCCATGCTGGATTTCTGCTGAAAGTGGTGTGCACCGACCCCAAGGAAGCCCCTTGAGTCCCATCATTTTCTGCAGAGGTAAGAGCAGGTAAAAGTCCTGATGGGTTGTAATGGATTATTTTATAGGGTTCTTAAAAAGAAGATAAATGATGTAAAATGAATTATAGTGTTTGTCTGGTAGCAGGCTAAACTAGAAGTACAGGTTTGAAATGATGTAGTATTGACTGGGTGTGTGAATGGAGACTGTGGACCATCTGTGTAGGATGTTGTATAGTGAGACAGAAGTTTCTAAAAGCAGAGTGGTGCTGCCCATGAATGAGGTATAGGGAAGGTGGAGGTTGTCATCCTTGCCAATGCCATCTTCTTCTCATCCAGCATCATTAA